AACTAAGAGGATGCATGTTTCTGATCAATCTTTTATACTTTGGCATAAGAGGCTAGGACACATTTCAAAAGAAAGAGTTTTTCAGTTGTCTAAAATGAATTTGATCCCTGCAATAGACATTAAAACTGCTGCAGAATGTGTTGATTGCATCAAGGGCAAGATGACTAATACTAGAAAATTAGATGCTAAAAGAAGTAATGCATTGCTCAAGGTCATTCACACAGATATTTGTGGGCCATTTCCTGTCAAAACCATTTGTGGGAATACTTATTTTGTAAGATTCATAGATGACTTCTCGAGATTCAGTTATGTTTACCTAATAAGTGAGAAATCGGCAGTCCTTGAATGTTTTAAAGTCTTCAAATGTGAAGTTGAGAAACAGTTAAACCATGTGATTAAAGTTGTTAGATCAGATAGGGGAGGTGAATACTTTGGCAAGCATACAGAAGCAGGGCAACAAAATGGTCCATTTGCTCATTTTCTTGAAAGTCAAGGGATTGTGGCTCAATATACCACTCCTGGTACCCCACAACAGAATGGAGTGGCAGAAAGGAGGAATAGAACTCTTATGGAAATAGTGAAAATCATGATTTCAAGATCCAAGCTCCCAAATTTTCTTTGGGGAGAGGCATTGAAAACTGCAAGCTATATTATAAATCGAGTGCCCTTAAAATCCATGCCTAAGACACCTTTTGAATTATGGCATGGCAGAAAGCCAAGCTTCAATCACTTTCATGTATGGGGATGCAAAGCTGAAGAAAAATTCTACAACCCGAGTGAGAAGAAATTGGATCCAAGAACAACTACATGCTATTTCATCGGTTACTCAGAAAAGTCAAAGGGTTTCAAATTCTATTGTACACAAGCATACACAAGGATTCAAGAAACTCACAATGCCATTTTTATGGAGGATGAAGATGTATTAGATATGGCACATGAAAAATTCGATTTTGAAAAGATGGTGCAATCAGAAAGTTGTTCTCAATTAATCTACAATCAAGTACCAGTATTGCAAAGAACTCATTCAAATGCCGATGATCTTGATGATGATATGGCAGAAGCTGAGAGCAATGATCAAGCAAGCATTAAGAATCGATCAGAGACTCGGAATCAAAATCTCAATGTTCAAACAAATGAGAATTTGACTGAACAACCACAGATCAGGAAGTCTAACAAAATCAAGAAAGCTGTGATCTCACAAGACTATGTGTATCTTCAAGAGACAGAATTTGATTATGGTGATATAGATGATCCTATGACCTATCAACAAGCTATCAAAAGCCCTCAAGCAGTCTTATAGCAGCAAGCCATGGTGGAGGAACTTGAGTCAATGGCAAAAAACAATGTTTGCTCTTTAGCAAAGCCATCAGATAACACTAAACCAGTAAACTGCAAGTGGGTATTTAAGACCAAAGAGAGATGCTCAGGGAAGAATTGAGAGATATAAAGCTCGATTAGTTGCAAAGGGATTCACACAAAGGGAGGGTGTTGACTACAATGACACCTTTTTCACCAGTTTCTTCCAAGGACTCCATGCGAGTGATAATGGCCTTGACAGGTTATTTTGACCTGGAATTGCATCAGATGGATGTCAAAACTGCATTTTTGAATGGTGAACTTGATGAGGAGATCTTTATGTCACAACCTCCTGGATTTTTTGAAAGGGGGAAAAAGGATATGGTCTGTAAATTGAATAAATCAATCTATGGTTTGAAACAGGCTTCAAGACAATGGTTTCTGAAATTTGATCAAGTAGTTACTTCACAAGGGTTTATTGAAAACAAGATGGATGATTGTATCTACCTTAAGTTCAAGTGATCCAAGTTCATTTTTCTGGTCTTGTATGTCGATGACATTTTGCTTGCAAGTTCGGATGTACAGTTGCTAAAAGAGACTAAGAGCATGCTGAGTTCAAACTTTGAAATGAAGGATCTTGGGGAAGCTCACTATGTTCTCGGAATTGAAATCGTGAAAGACAGAAGACAGAAACTTCTTGGTTTATCTCAGAAGGGATATATAGAAAGAGTGCTTAACAGGTTTAATATGGAAAGTTGCAATAAGGCTGATGTTCCTGTAAATAAGGGTGATAAGTTCTCTTGAGATCAATGTCCTAAAAATGAACCTGAGACTAAATTGATGAAGATGAAACCATATGCTTCTTTAGTTGGCAGCCTTATGTATGCTATCATTTTTAAACTCGTTTATCCTTTCTTTTTTATCATTTACTCATTTTTCATCCGTCTATGTGTTTTTTTTAACAACTTGAAAATTAAAAAAGAAAATTTTGTCGTAATTTTCTTTTTCTAACAATTAAACACCGTTATAGGTACATTCATCATACATTTCCGCATTTTAATTTTTTAAGTCCTTATATCATTCCAATAATTAATAATAGTTTACAGACAATATTTTTAACTGTTAGCAATGAAGGTAATATAAAATTTGCTAAGTATTCTTGGGTTACGAAAACTGTTAAAAGACAGTATTCTTGGGTTATTTAACTCAGAATGTAAAATATTAACATAATATATATAATGGACCATAAAATTTAAAGTGGTTAAGAAAAACTATATTATATTAGCTATAGAAATCATGCACTATAGTCAATAGCATTTATCTAAGTTTTGTCCGATAGGGAACATGGTTTGTGTTAATTTTACTTATATAAAATAAATGGGTAAATGGTTACCCGTTTATAACCGCGGTTAATACTCATAACCACCCATTTAAATTTCCCGGGTAAACGGTTATACCCATAACCGTTTATTTATCTAAACAGTTACCCATAACCGTAACCGTGAAATTTAAATGGGCGGGTAACCGCGGTTACCCATAACCGATGGGTATTTGCCCATCCCTAATCTCAACGGTGAAGACCGAAGTAAAGCATGTCGGAAAAACGTGTTGAGGAGGTGTTGATGTTGTGGTCGAGCAGCTCGAATCGGCAAGGAAGTTGTCACATTATGAGGAGAAGGGCTAGAGGCGTTGTTGTCGTGGAGGAAGTGGGAAGGGGGAAGAGCTCAAGAATCTATTCTGGAAGCAAATGGAAAAGTTCATGCTATTCCAACCTTCATCCCTTACACGATGAGCAACACATGTACAGAGGAGTAAATTAGTAAATTAACTGTGCAACTCACATTACAAAGCTTAGAATGAGTAGCAAATGAAGGGCAAATTTGTCAAATCACTGTTAATGAACAATGCTCAGCAACTGAGTTTTAGTATATATAATTTATACTTTCATTAAGTATAAAGTGTAAATATTTTAAATTGAAGATCGAATTCATTCATTCTATTCATATAGGATCAAGGAGTGTGGCTATAAAACATTATCAAAATCGAAGTTAAAATAACCGTTAAATCATGATTTTTCGTTTTATAACCGTCGAAAAGTTTTGTCCCATTACTTGATCGTTGAATGTTTGTTTTTTGCGATTTTTTGCTGATGCAATCTCAAAGCATATACAAACAAGTTTGACGGTTGGATCGTTGAAATTAGTTTCATAGAATTCGCATCCCATCAAGTTCAAATATATATATATATATATATATTTATTTATTTATTTATTTATTAAGTAGATTTAAATTTATTTATTTTGTACGTATAAGTTTATAACACTTGAAAAATTAAATGGTATGTATATTTAAGCTCATCCAATGGTCACCAATTTTTAAAATTTAATTTAATATATATATATAATTATTATAGTATTTTTTTAGGGTTATAAAATTATAAAATTAATATTTGCTTATCATGTATTGTGTTATCCACATGTATACCTGAACCAATCCATTATCTTAACAGGTACTTATCGGGTTACTCGATAATGACCCGATTCGTTATCGTGTCGACCCGAACACCTGTTAATTTCGTGTCATGTTGTGTCAGGAATTGCCAGGCCTACTTGGCAGTGTCTATTGCATTCGACTCAAATTCATATCTTTGAGTGGCGACTGTTGTTTAGAGTTAAGGTGATGTTTCTTGTGATTTGTGTGCATGAAAAAACATTACGAGGAAGAAGCTTGGTGTTTGTTGAAGGTGACTCATGACAATCCTTCTTTGTCAATGGTTGCAAGATCATCAAAAGGTGATGCAATCTTTTCCTCCTGGTGCCTCCACGACAGTGTTTTAGAAAAATCGCCTTGGGGCGCGCCTAGGCATCCTTAGAGACGGTTGGCAGCGTTCGCCTCTGTTTAGTGGAAGTCAGCGAATAAGTCGTTTAGGCTTCGTCGAGGCGCACCAAAGCGTTTCCAGGCTTTTTTTTCGTTTTCTTTTTGCTTTTTGGCTTTTTTGTTTTTCTTCTCGAAATTCACGTTTGTTTTTTAAATCTAGGAGAAGAGAACACATAAAGCTATACCGCTCTTGGTTTCAATGGAGAAGAAAGAGAGAAACTCAGTTCCTCTCTCCAATTCCCACATGACAAAGTCTAACTTTAACTCTTAACTCTTTGTTTTTTTTTTATTGTCCATTCAAATATTGTCACCTAGCATATGGCCCACTCAACCTTATTTCTTTTGAAATGCCTTATAATTGCGGTCACACAACCTTATCCCTATAATTGCACCCACTCAGCCTTATTTCTCTTGAAATTCCCTATCATTGCTTACAATAAAATAAATAATTACAACATATTTAAGACCATATGACATAATTTTCAAGTTCAACTAGACTTAGCAATGAAGAAGATGATTTATCCTTGATTTTAAAACATTGCTCCATATGATAATTCTACAACGTGCAATATTTAGTCGGCATGAGGTGTTATTTTTCTTTTTAGTTGAATGCGAGTCCTCTACGGTTGTGGAATTATCTTGTATTCATAATGAGTTTGTAATTGTGAAGTTGTAGTGTTTTGTTTAGCGTGTATGACCTCTTGATTGACGTTTGATACGTTTGCCCTATGTACATTCTTGATAGTTCTCAATAGAGTTCCATTTGATCTCAAAGGAATTTAGTTGGTTCCTGTATCCATAGCCAGAGAAAAATAAGAATAACCACGTTCAAATCCATTGTGTGATTTTAGATTGTTCGAATGAGATTCAAGAAATTTTAAAAAATCATAGATCGTCACTGAATTTTTTGGGGAGGTTTACTGATCGTAAGTGGAGACTTGGATGAGAACTAAGTAATATTTATAACAAGGTGACTAACAAAACACTTCCTCATGTACAAAGTATACTGCGTTTTGGCATTTGCACAAGAAACTCCAGTTTCCAAAGATTCTGGCCTCAATTCAAAGATCAGATATTCTTCATGTTATAAGCTTACCATGAGAAACTAGAGAGGCCCCTTGGAAGTTTTCATGCGAGAGCGCTTTGCTTCTAACCTGGCTTCTAGTAGTTTTGCCATCAACGTATTTTCGTCGAGGCCTGGAGGCCATTCCCATGAAGATTGAGATTTCCCAAAATCTGGGGTTCTTAGTTTTGACATCCATTGCTGTACTGGACTAGCATTACCTGTATGCACAGGCTGGACACAAGTTTCCACCCTGCAATTACTTTCGGGATGACTGGATTTCATTCCACGTGTGCTAAGTCGTTTACTTTGTATTTCTTTTAGACCTGTGATCAAATCGCAGTACTCAGATTCTTCAAGATTGTCAATCAGAGCTTGATTTTCTACTCCCACTATTTCACCATGTTCCCTATTTGCAGATTGGCTTCTGTTTGCATTATAGGACACTCTTTTGGTCATACGTTCTTCAAATTGCCCTTGTAAATCACACAAGCTATTGGCCTTAGTGTTCTCCTGTGATACTTTCTCCCTCACAGAATTAGATCTCGCTATTCCTTCATATTGGCCCTCTGCAACATTATTTTTTCGCTGTCTAGAGCCGCGCTTGACTTGCCTTCCACTAGCACTCTTGCTTACGTCTACAAAGTGTGAATCATTGTCGGTGGAATCTTCATCAGCTACATGTTGTGGTGCACTTGTAGCCTGATTCAATGGAAAGGACTCTAATGACTGCTGGCGTGAGCAATTTCCCTTCAGCTCCTTTGGGGATAACTTCCTATTTTTCTTTGTCTCAATAGATCGTTTAGCCTGAAGAAAGGTTTCTATATCAAAACCTAACTTGTCCACAATTGTATTCCTCTCCGCATAGTCGCTCTGAGCTTCAGGCATCTTCATTTGCATCCGTTCATCAAGCCATGCTTCTGAAAGATGGAGAATTAATCTGTCAGAGCTGATGTTACCACTGTGACCCTTCTCGGGCTTTTGCTTCAGGGATCGCACCTCTTGTTCATACTCTTTTATTCCATTGGCAAACTCATCGCACAAGTTTTCTAATAGGATACGCGCTTTTCTCTCCCTTTCGAGCTCTCTCAGAGCATTAGAGAAAGAAGATTTCATTTCAGGGAGCTCTCGAGCTAGCTTCCAATGCAGGCTCTCTGAATGCTTTCTCAACTTCCTCTCACCTTCTAGCTCATCCCTAAGCGATTGGACAGAAGCTTTGATTCGGTCTTGGTCCTTATTCTTCCAAACAAGTTTATTTTCTGTAACATGCTTCATCAAGTCGCCCATTTCTTGCCTATCTGATTCTTTCTCATGCAACAACTCTTTAATTCTTGCATGAGAATGATCTAGTTCCATTTTCAGTGCTTTAACCAATGATATATTAGATGCATGTTGCTCTTCAAGAGTCCAGATACGATTGAGTACTTTGAGTAATTCTGTGGATGTTTTAAAGCTACGACTTGATTCACCCATCCTTCCCTTATAAGGTGCCACCTACAAAAAATTGAAAACCAAAAGGCATCTGAATCCCTCAGACCCAGATAATGGATAACATTGATTCTACAATGTAACTGTTCCAATACGAATAATTACGGAACTCTTTTTTCAGGCATTAAAATTCTCTTCATTTCATGCCTCTTAGCTCTCAATTGTTTTGGTGAAAGTCAAGAACCCAAAACAGTAATCTAATTGTACGGATGACATTGTTTATATGAATTATACATCATACCTCAAAGTTCTTTCTTGGATTTCTTGTAGTTACATAATGTCATAACCTATATGGTCCTTTGAAAACATTTTTATCCAGCATGGAATCTATATGTCGATGAATCTTTTCCAGTGTTTTAAAAGGCTCACCTCAAGGCGCGCCTAGGCGGCCTCTGAGGCTAGGCGTCAATGTTCTTGCCTCTGTTTTGAGGGAGTGGGCGGAAGGCTTCGCCGGAGCTCGTCTGGGCGGCGGAGCATCCAGGGTGTTCATCTGGGCGTTTTTTTCTTCAAAATCCAGGTTTTCTGAAATGTTTTCTGCCAGTCTAGTTTCAACTCAGCCTTTATTTCATTTTAAATACCCTATAAATACTCCACTCAACCCTTTATTTTTGCCATTTATTTCATGTTAAATACCCTATAAATACTTCATTCAACCCCTTATTTTCCTTTAAATTCCTATAATTATTGCTTTATATCATTTTAAATATCCTATAACTACTCCACTCAGCCTTTATTTCCTTTTAAATTACTTATAATTGCAACATTAAGTCTTTATTTTCTTGAAATTTTCCTATAATTGTGACCATTCATCCTTATTTTCCTTGAAGTTCTCTATAATTGCTTACAATAAAATAAATAATTATAACATTTTGAGACTATATGACATAGTTTCCAAATACAACTAGACTTAGTAATAAAGAAGATGATATTATCTTTGATTTCGTTATAGTTATATTTGTTTTTACAAAGTATTGTATTGTTATAAATATACTTATATATATAATATATATTAAAATTTTACGCCTCACGCCTCGCGCTGGGCTATCCATTGGACGCCTCGGCCACACCCCCGCCTTTTAATACATTGATTTTTTCTGACACGTATCACTTTACATTTTTTGTCTACTTATCAATTGAATTTACCTTTAATCACTAGTAGACGATTCAATGAATCAGCCATTCTGATTACCATGTTAGTAAGAAGAAGCACATTCAAAGAAATGGAAACTCAGCTCATAGTCCTCATTCTAATTGTTGTTGAACTTTGAAGCGACTTCCTATTTTACCGGGACATAATTACTCACCTCCAATGAGCTACAACTAGCAGGAGATAGGGGTTGGAGTGCACAACCATTGCTCTCAACTGATTGATGGTTCTGTATCAGTGGTGCTGATACAAGCCTCCGCAAGCTGCTTGCACTAGCTGGCTGGAACGAGAAAGTTCAAGGATCAGTAATTAATCAAAACACACAAATGAAAGCACTTTCACATGTTTTTGAAATTTCGGAACCAGCAACAATAAGATAACAACTATCAAGTCATACACAACGACGAGCAATTCTTCCGAACATTACAATTTTCCCCTACTGTTATTGCTGCATAATCGTTCCAACAAGACAGCTCTATGCCAAACACATTAACCTTGACAATTAAGAATCAACAACTCAAACTTTTGTTTCTGAAAAAAAGGAAATTCTGAATCATATTTGCAGCAGAAAAGGAATTCAAAAATTCTGCACTTGCAAGTGTATAAACCCAAGAAAATAAAACTACAAACACAAATGTTGAAAGTTCTGAGGAAAGTAATGGACACACACATAAGACAATGAGAATGCCTCACACTTTTGTTGGTTTTTTTTACAAAACTACTCTAATCTACGGAGCCTCCGACCTTGGACGGAAGGGGGCTCACACATTGCTCTAACCAAGTGGCCTAACTCAAATCTACGGAATTGTATATCTTAATGTGCCAAAGAAGCAAAAAACAGATACAATCTTTGGACTAATGTGCAGCATCCCAAATAAGCAAAAACTTGAAGAAGCATCCCATTTCTACAACAGGCTTCACAAAACAAAGCATGACTGAGCATTCGACCAAAAATAAAATAAACACATTAATAAAAGAAAACCCACGATGCCAACACATCTGACACTTAGCAAAAGAACACAAATTGCACACACACCTGGTCGTGAGTTGAGCCAGCAGGACTCTCAGCCTCCGCCAGAAGCCTGGAAATCCCAACCCCATTTCTGCTCCGCTGCTTGCGGTGGAGCCCACCGCGTGCTTTGCTCATTTGCTCGATTTCCCAGACGGAGGAACAGAGCTTTCTGGCAGAGACTGACGCTGCGGAGTGAAGGTTGAGAAATTCTGAGGTGGGTTTTCTGTGACTTTGAGAACAGAAATCGACGAGCCTCCAAATGGGTGGTGGAGTACTGCAAAGCCCCCCTCTTTTCCTCACCAACACACCGCGTTTCAACCTTTTAACCACCACTCCTCCTTGCTTTTTCCTTTCACTTTCCGAACCTTTTTCCTCTCTCTCCATCTCTCTCTCTCAATTCAAATTTCAATCTGTGCTTGCTAACCCATGATTTTGGCTTTTGTATCTGCTTTTTTTTTTTTTTTGGCGCTTCAAGATTACAAGGTTGCTTCTTTCACTCTCTTTTACTTCAAACCTACAGAGTCGAGGTTTGTTCTGCTCTGTTCTGCCTACATTTTTTTTCATGAGTAAACTGTCGGTTTACCCCCTAAACTTTCACCTCACTTTCGATTTCCCCCCTGAACTTTCCATTGGAAAATTAAGGACTCAAACTAATTTTTTTAGCCAATTTGCCCCCTACCGTTAGCTTTTCATATATTCCATCCATATTTCCGTTAAGTGAGACCATGTGCACAACATGTGAGGGTAGTTAAGTTATTTCACTCTTAAAAATGATTAAAAAACTGAAAATAAATAATAATAATAATTTTCCCTCTATTTTTTCCCGCTAATTCCTATCCTCAATTTTAATTTTCCCTCTATTATTTCACTCTAGTTTTAATCATTTTTAAATTGAAATGACTTAACTATCCTCACATGTTATGCACATGGTCTCACTTAACGGAAATATGGATGGAATGTATGAAAAACTAACGGTAGGGGGCAAATTGGCTAAAAAAATTAGTTTGAGTCCTTAATTTTCCAATAAAAAAGTTCAGGGAGGAAATCGAAAGTGAGGTGAAAGTTCAGGGGGTAAACCGACAGTTTACCCTTTTTTTCATCTATTTCCCTTTTCTTTTCTTTTTTTTTTCCGCAGTGAATTTTTATGTTTCCTGTTTCTTTGTCCCCCGATTTACCCCGAAGTTTATCCACCTCAGCCATAATATGTCAAAGGAATTCTGACAGGGACCTCCAAAATTGGATTTGCACGTGAGATCTTAAGAATTCTCAAATTTTAATTATTTATCGCGTATCGTGCGATTATAAATTATTTAATTTTTTTATTTAAAATTAAATATAAATAGTATCTGACGAAAACTGACTGCACAATATACAATAAACAATTAAAATCCCTACAAAATAGATCCGATGAGAATCCTCTTCCTCCAGAATTGGGCCCATTAGGCTCCAGCAGTTTAATTGTGAGAAGTTACTACTATTTAAGCTTCACAACTTAAAATTCATTCTTAGAACTTTGATCTTAGGTCATCTCTAACTGAAAAGCTAAACATAGTTCCGTTCAGAATTATAACCTTGTATAAAATTGTTGTTAAATGAACACTATCAAACCATTCTCATATATCATCTCTAACCGAATAGACTAAACATAGCTCCTCAATAATTTATTAGTTTTAAGTTTATAGTTTGGTTAATATTATTAAACTATTGTTAGATGCTTTTAAATTTAATCGTTGAATTTAAATCAATTATTGCAACTGAGAAAATGACCAAAAAAAGGCTAAGAGAGGCTATATTTGGATAGCATGATGCCACTTTGGCAAAATAATGGTATGGTGGCCTCTATAGAATTATAACTCAACTATCAATTAGAGATGAGTTTTTTTTCGCAAATCAAACCATTTTTTTGCTTTTGGGTAGTAATTGTAGGTTTATATTTGAATTTTATAAGACTTTTGACATTTTGAAAGTTGACTTAGTAACAGATATCAATTATAAATAATGAGCGTGATGCATATTTTACTAAAATTAAAATGACATTGTATTATCTTGTGTACTCAACCCATAAATTAGAAAACACCTCCAATAAACATCATAACCATTTGTGGTTTGGTAAAGGGACTCTTAAATTTTAAGAATTAGCAAACAATGATATTGTTAGTCAAATTTTCAAACGTTTTACACGATAGCTGAAGATCTTGACCCTTGAAAGAGAGAAATGACAAGATATGCACGTGGTGAAATTGCCCTTTTCTTGCCTTCATGCGCCCTACATCTATACATTACAACAAATAATTATAGCTTTCTAAATATCTCACATGGTTTACCATACGTAAGGATGGGTAAATACCCATTGGTTATGGGTAACCGTGGTTATCCATCTATTTAAATTTGACGGTTACGGTTATGGGTAACCGTTTAGATAAATAAACGGTTATGGGTATAACCGTTTACCCGTGAAATTTAAATCGACGGTTATGGGTATTACCCGCGGTTATAAACGGGTACCCATTTAACTGTTTATTTTGATATATGTAAAACTTAAAAAAAAAATACTTAGTTTCTAACTAGGTTTAGTATCCCGATATATATTTGGTTATAAAGGGCCATAATATATATATATATATATATATGTTTTTTTTTTATGCCTCACTTGAGAAAAAATATAGTTGATAAAACGAGCTAATGTTTAATATATATGATTGAATGTGTTAAAGCATTAGAGTGTTCGACAATTTTGTTTTTGAGTCTTTTGGAGCTTTGACCAATTCAAGACAATGATTACCTTGAGTATTTAGAAACATGTTATTATCAAATGATGCGTACCTATATATATATATATATATATATATAAATTTAATTCGCCTCGAGTTTTCAATAAATATTTGACCCCAAAATTAGAAATCGATTAAATGGCTTGGATCGATGAACATATATTTATAAATAAAAATCCAAATATTTATCAAATTAGCTTATTAGCAGGTTGCTGCGTACTTATATATATACAAGAATATTAATTAACCTACAACCATGCATGGTTGTTTCTTGTAATAGATTGATCGTCAAATAATTGGGAGACATCACATATAATATATTCATAAATAATATTGCCGTTAATATAAAAATACGTGTTAAATGTGCTTATAACAGTATTTAATAGTTAGATAAAAGAAAATTATGACAAATTTCTTTTTAATTTTCAAGTTGTTACGGGTCAAAAAAAAGTAAACAGGTAAGCGGTTATGAGGATGGTTAATCGTTTATAAACGGTTATGGGTATGAATATACCCGTTTATGTAAATATCCAACGGGTAAAAGGTTATGTGGGTAAAAGCTTAAACGGCTATGGGTAAATAACCGCATTTACCTACCCGCCATAACTGTTGCACACCCCTAACCATACACATCTTTCTCATATAATATAGAAAGAGATACATACAGCACGAGACTAATAATTTTTCTTGATGATTATAGCACAAGTTTGATGAGAAAGGATCCTCTCTGAATCCTGAATTTTGGCTGCACGCCTTGCCTCGAGCACAGTTGCGAAGCCATCGCAACTCCATCGCCAGGGATTCGATGTAAAGGATCTGATGGCCATTGTTGCCATTGCAGCTACTTCCTATCTCGATGATGCCAAAACGTTTTCCTAACCGATCAATTTTCTTTTGAACAGTTAAGATTGAAAGATTTTCCGAATATGAATGGAAGAGATTCGGAGAGGATCCTATCCCAACATTGATATCCAACCGATCAACCCCCAAAAGATAATATATAGGGTTAGGACTGGAATCCTAGGCGAACGAAGGTTACATTTTTTTTTTTAAGCCAATTTAATCAGTCTGTTCAATTAGTCACTGGAGAAGTATGTTTGTCCCAACATTGCAATCCGGAGACTTTTTACAAAGATAATATTAGGGAGATCAAAATTTTAAATTAAATATGCAAACAAAACAATATGTTACTAATAAAAAAATAGGGGTTTTTTGAACTTTAATCCTTTAAGAAGATTAAAATTCAATAAAAACCTGGTGTTAGATTGAATATTGATTTTAGTCCTCTATTGTGTACTTAACTCATACTGATACTATATTTTTGTTTTAATATTTAATGGATATCTTATTTAATGTCATTACATTAAAATTAAAATTATTTATTATTATACATATTTTAATTCATTATATTTATTTTACTTCCTCTAATTAGTGTACCTAAACGTTGTTATCATAACATATTTTACTAAATTAGTATACCAAAATGTCCGTACTTAAATATATTATAGTGAATTAGTGGCACATAAGAAAATATGTAAAAACATAAGTGTACCGAAAAATTCCGTATCTAAATATATGATACTAAACTAATGTACCCAAATGTTTGTACCTACATATATTATAATAATTGAATTTAAATCAATTATTGCAACTGAGAAAATGACCAAAAAAAGGCTAAAAGAGGCTATATTTGGATAGCATGATGCCACTCTTTGGCAAAATAATGGTATGGTGGCCTCTATAGAATTATAACTCAACTATCAATTAGAGATGAGTTTTTTTTCGCAAATCAAACCATTTTTTTGCTTTTGGGTAGTAATTGTAGGTTTATATTTGAATTTTATAAGACTTTTGACATTTTGAAAGTTAACTTAGTAACAGATATCAATTATAAATAATGAGCGTGATGCATATTTTACTAAAATTAAAATGACATTGTATTATCTTGTGTACTCAACCCATAAATTAGAAAACACCTCCAATAAACATCATAACCATTTGTGGTTTGGTAAAGGGACTCTTAAATTTTAAGAATTAGCAAACAATGATATTGTTGGTCAATTTTTCAAACGTTTTACACGATAGCTGAAGATCTTGACCCTTGAAAGAGAGAAATGACAAGATATGCACGTGATGAAATTGCCCTTTTCTTGCCTTCATGCGTCCTACATCTATACATTACAACAAATAATTATAGCTTTCTAAATATCTCACATGGTTTACCATACGTAGGATGAGTAAATACTCATTGGTTATGGGTAACCGTAGTTATCCACCTATTTAAATTTGACTGTTACGGTTATTAGTAACCAGTTAGATAAATAAACGGTTATGGGTATAACCACTTACCCGTGAAATTTAAATGGGCGGTTATGGGTATTACCCGCGGTTATAAACGGGTACCCATTTAACTGTTTATTTTGATATATGTAAAACTAAAAAAAAATAATACTTAGTTTCTAACTAGGTTTAGTATCCCGATATATATTTGGTTATAAAGGGCCATAATATATATATATATATATATATATATATATTTTTTTTTTTATGCCTCACTTGAGAAAAAAATATTGTTGATAGAACGAGCTAATGTTTAATATATATGATTGAATGTGCTAAAGCATTAGAGTGTTCGACAATTTTGTTTTGGAGTCTTTTGGAGTTTTGACCAATTCAAGATAATGATTACCTAAGCATTTAGAAACATGTTATTATCAAATGATGCGTACCTATATATATATATATATATATATAAATTTAATTCGCCTCGA